TTGAATATATTTATACAGACCTGCATGCAGAGCCTTTCTTCTAGCTGAGGGCAGAAGAGGAAATCGGGAAATAAAGCAGAACGGGAGAGCAGAGAGATTTGATGCAAAAGAAGGATTTCATGCACCGTTGCTCGCTTTGAAGATAGAAGGGACCATGAGTCAAGGCACACAGGCAGGCTTTAGAAGCTGAGAATAACCCCTGGCCAATAGCCATTAAGGAAATGAGTATCTCAGCCTGACAACCATCCCAAACTGGATTCTTCCAACAACGTGAATGAGCCTAGAAGTGGTTCTTCCCCAAGACCTTCATTTAAGAGCCCAGCTTGATTTTAGCTTTGTGACATTCTAAACAGAGAACCCACCTGACCTATGCTATGCCTGGACATTTGGCTCATAGAAATTGTGAGATAATAAATTTGCATTGTTTTAAACAGCCATGTTTGAGGTTATTTATTATAGCAGCAATAGAAAACTAATACACCATGCTATGAAAGAATTGTGCAATGAAAATCACAGGAACTAAGGATAAGACCCTTGGGGCGCCTGGATGTCTCTGTCAGTTGAGCCTCTGGCTCTTGGTTTCAGCTCAGGTTGTGATCTCAGTGTCCTGAAATAGAGCCTCACTGGGCCTCCATGCCTCCATGCTCAGCGGGGAGTCAGCTTGGGATTCTCTCTCTCTCTCTCTCTCTCCCTCTGCCCTCCTCCCCTTGCGCTCTCCCTTGTTCTCTCTCTCAAATAAATAAATAAAATCTTTTTTTTAAAAAAAGGATAAATCACTCAAAAAGAGACATATAATAAACAAAAATAAGATAGAAATCTAATAAACAGGGTAGCATAGTTTTACATATGGGAAATGGGTAACAAATCTGTAAACACTATAATAAATATGACACTTCACCTTAACTAAGACCTGAAGTTTGCTTCTGGAATTAGGAGTCAGAAGGATTATAGCTCATGCATTCTTGTGAAGTGGTGGAGGGAGGGTTATCTGAAATTGGACAGAAAATTTAACACTAGGTATAGATACATGTGGCTCACAACACACGGGTGAATTGAGTTCCCTGGTAGATTTTTAAGGTCTGTGTGTGTTGCATGTGTGTGTGTGTGTGTGTGTGTGTGTGTGTTGTGTGTGTATTTTCTATAGTCTTATATGACTCAGGCAGTTTTCTGTGTTCACCTAGTGTTTCTCAAAGATGTGAACAAAATCATAAATAAGCAAATCCAAAATTTGCATTATGATCAAATGGTTCATGAATATATCAATTATATTAAATTCACATTTTCAAAATAAGTGACTCAATATAGGAATAATGGTGATGAAAAACTGTATAACTGGCTGCTCATGCCAGACATACGTCAATCTTCTTGACAGGCTGACCAGCTGGATGGTTGTACTTACGGGAACTTAATGCCACTCTACATGACTCTGTGTTGTCATAGGCACCTCAACAGGTCAAGTGTAGCAGCAGGTTCCCTCAAAGTCAGCAACATCAAAATAATTCATCAGTATGCCTCACTTTCTTAAAAGGCAGACAGTATGAAACTAAACTATCTTTGGGATCCATACTTCTATCTTAGGAGTCAATTTCTCATTTTGCAGTGCCGTGGCAGTTATAAATCTCTTTGTAAATCTTTTAAACACAACCTCACTCTGGTGTGTTTCTAGCCCTCGAACAATTAGTGTTTATCATCGATCGTTTTTCTGCATGATTGCCTATGCAGAGTCAAAAGGAAGCCAGTCTTTGGGAAAAAGCACCAGATACTGCTCACCGGCCAGGGGCAACTCCAGGGGTTAAAAATAACCCAAGAATGTAGTTTCATGAGAAAGGAACACACCAGCTATAAGTAGAAATGGCAAAGCTGAGGTTTATTTTATAATCTCTATAATTTGGAACATGCCCGGGTCTTTAGTCCAGCCCCTTCATGGGGTCACTGGAAGCCCAGCAAATAGAGTGCTCTGTCCAAGATCGAAGAGCAACTTAGTATCAGAGCAAAGGAAATTACTCAGGCACCCTAACAACTTGCAATGTGTGGTGGCCATACACAATTTGCAAATTTTATGAAACCTCAAGACCTTTTTCACAAGAATAGCCACTTTTTTTTTAAGTTGTGCACTACAGCAGCTTAAAGAAAGTATGAAGGTCCCATACTGCTTTCATGAGAATGTCTTGAGATTAATTAATTCCATCATTCCAATTGATCCCCCCACGTCTTCAACCATTCATTATTTCTTTCCTTAATTCCACCTGAAATGAACAAGAAGTTAGATGCTTCCTAACAGTGGCCAACATAACAGGGGTTGAGAAAATGAGGAACTAAACAACCAGACATCTAGTGTGTGACTTTATTTACAACCTCATCCTTGACCCTCTAACCGAGATCAAGTCTTCCCTCAAGGAAATATGTTCTGAAATACTTCATTTCCATCTACCCCTACCATGTTTCCAAGCACTGGACTCTTATCGTAGAGGTCAGAGAGTCATTGTTTATTTATAAAAGATGTGTGTGTGTGTGTGTGTGTGTGTGTGTGTGTGTGTGTGTGTTCTAAAAGAAATGCAAAAGGCTGCCCCATTGTACTGTTTGGAAGCTCAATTCTAGGCCCTTTGCTATCTGCCGCAATAAAGGGTCAAGCATCCTTATAGTTTCAAGTTCTTTCCAGAAGATGGGCTATCATCATCCATCATCAAAACCTAAGAGGTTTCTATGGCAACCTCCTCCTCAAACCCATCAATTTTTCTGGCAATGCCATTTCATTCTGTCCCAGGGCCTGCACTGAAGTTTTTTGTTTGTTTGTTTGTTTGTTTGTTTGTTAATAAAACTCTGAAAAATGAAGCTAGGAAAATACCAACAGGCAAAAATAAAATAAATATAATTCCAACAACAGCCTGAGCATAATAAGATTGAGAGAAGAAAACATTCCCTGGTAATATTGGGTCCAGGGTGTTAATGAAGATTTAACACAATGAATAATATTATAAAAGAGGATAAAAGAATGGAGGCAGGGAAGAGCCAGCCCCAAGAGCAAAGATTGCACAATGGTTTGGGGACAGCCGGCTTCTTCTCCTTGCTTCTCTTTTTTCTCTGATAAGCATACGGTTGCCGGCATTGAAATAGAATTAATCTAAAGCTGTAAATGAGGTTTCCACTAGGAAAAGCTGTCTCTTGCAGTGTTCAGAGCAGAGCTGGGAGCAGTGCCAAATGCTCATGAAGCAATTTCATAAGGTTCTGTTCAAAAGGCAGGAATTCCTGTCCTTCTATCACTTTATAACTTCTATCCCTTTATAACAACTGGCATATCGGGGCATTGGGATCATATGGTGAAAGTTAGGCTTCGAAGTGGCTTGGGCAGTATCCATCTGTCTTATTCCACACAGTTACCTTTCTATTACCACCTTAACTTGAGCCAGTCCTAATTGTAAGAAATGCCCATTTCTCCTCCGTGGTTGTGGCTCAGAGAAGATTCATCTCTCATCTTCTGAATCGCAATTCTACTTTAGTCAGTACTATACCATTTTCTAAGTCATGTTTTCTTGTTGTATTTGCAAGCATCGGTATCACCGTGTTATGACCTCTTTGGGGGCAAGGAAGGTGGTCCTTGGGCCACTCATGGCATATTCTGCCACAGATAATTTGGAGGATTCCCGGGGACTGGAGCATGTGTGATGTGCACATGTCGGCGGGAACAGGCTTTAGCGTTCAGATGAAACTCCTGCCCGTCCTTACTCAATCCAGCAGCCAGTGGTCAGGAAGAGTAGCAAGGAAAGAAGTGCAGAGGCTCTTTGATCTCTCTCTGAAACAGGATTCCTTTGTTCTGAACCCAGAAACTCATAAAGAAAGAGGATCAGTTTCCCAGGGAAAGTTTTCTTCTGGTAGCAGTGGCAGAAAAAAGAAAAAAAAAAGTTTTCCATATCCAGTAAAGGGTCTCCTTAGGGAAATAAGTGGATTCCACCCCCCTCAAAAGAGAAGAAGAAGAAGAAAGAAAGGGCCAGGGGAGAAATCAATAGAATTTGCGGTGCGCGACAGAGAACATGTGTTCAAAGTTTGATAAACTCTCCCCAGAGCGGAATCAGTCAGGATAGGTGAGATCAGTCACTATAGGAGATTACTTTGTGGTAACAAACAACCCAAAACCAAGGCTTCAAACAACATTATTTCCTGTCATGCTACAGAGGACCATGTATTGGCTGGGGCTCAGCTCTGCATGATCCTAACTCAAGACTGAGGCTGACAGGGGCGCCTGGGTGGCTCAGTTGCTTAAGTGTCTGCCTTTAACACAGGTCATGGTCCCAGCGCCCTGGAATCGAACCCCACATCAGGCTTCTTGCTCAGCAGGGAGTCTGCTTCTCCCTCTCCCTCTGCCGCTCCCCCTGCTTGTGCTCTTCTCTCTCTGTGTGTGTCAAATAAATAAAATCTAAAAAAAAAAAAAAAAAAAAGACTGAGACGGACAACAGAGTCATTCCCTGGAACTCTGTGGGCAGCTGTGGCAGAGGGAAAAGCAAGGTGTGGAGGGCCAGAGTTTCAGCCCAGAAGTCACACTGTTCTTCTGCTCATGTCTCATTGACTAGAACCACCCACATGATCCCTTCTGACCACAGTGATCCTGGCAGGTGGAGCTGGAAATGTTTGCTGAATGAAACTAATGAACGTTACAAGGGGGAAAACTTCAAAGCACATTTCAAATTTCTAGTTTCATGTTTGATTGATTCAGAATTAGCAACTACAAGAAGAAAAACAAAATGCAGGTAAATAGCATAGTTTCTTCATCAGCCACTTCCCAAAGCAGCCTTGCTCGGTCTTTGAATCGCATGGGAAACCTGGAAATTCATTACTCGTTCATTCATTTTTTTCAACTGATAGTTACTGATTTCTGTACTAAGTCCTGGGTAAGGCACTGTGATATAAAAGTGTATGTGTCTCCTTTCTAAGCCCATGATCCTTCTTGATCTATGATTATCCCATTATCACAACCTGCCCTGTGCCTCCAGAAAAAAGCTTCTGGGTTTCATTTCTGGCTTAGATTATATTAGAATTCATAACAGTACCTCCAGAGACAGGATGATTTGAGATTCTGCACCTTCTCTATTCTAGCTAGTTTCTCTGACCCTAAAGCCTCTTCTGCTCCATGCTACTCTTGGCTTGTTCTTACTTCCTCACAATGTGATACAGCCTCCATATGCTTGAGTCAACTTGCATCTGATTACACTGGATGTTTGAGATTACTCCCTGGAGTAGTTCAGCAACCAGAGCCAGGGTAGATCATTCTTTCCTCTTCATCCTTGATACTCTTTAAAAACAAAACAAAACAAAACAAAACCCTCTGACTTCTTCCCCAATCAGTGTGAACATGGGTCCTGGATCCTGACTTATCTGATATGTCAAGAATTCATAAATCATCATTATAACATAATTATACCTCCATAATATATTTTCAGGCTAGAAATAGAATGCTAACAAAAATATTTAAGTGTTAAACTTCAAATCAGGTGATTAATATTTATTGAAGGAATACCTAGTGTGTTCTTTGATCAGAAGTGTTTCTGTAGAAAAAGCAGAATGATTTCAGTCCTAGATATCAGAAGTATATCTTGACAAGTCAACTCACTTTGAAATGTAAATCTAATTCATTCACTAATTGTCTTTAGGGAGTATAACTGAGACACCATTTGCTAAGTGAACTTGATAGAGACTGCAAGTTGCCTAATGTAAATCCATTTTCCCTGTTCACCTTAAGAACAGACTCTATCTATGAGATGGCATGAATGGACCTGGATAAAGGACTACATTTTCCAATTGCTTACAATGAAATGTAGTCATGTGACTAAGTTCTGACCAATGAGGTTATAGCCAAGACTGTCATTGACCTACCTGCATTCACCTGAACTCTGAAGTGAGCTCCAACAGCCAAGGATTTGCCTCTCTGGGTCTGGAACATCTTTTCCCATCACTGTGGAGAGCCACTGCCTGCGTATGGCATACCAGAAATGCAAACTGATGCAGTTAAGGACAGTTCTCAACCAATGCTTCCTAAAATCGGCATACAAACATTTCAGCTTCCTCACCCTTTGGGTGGGAAAAATTTAAAGTCATGTATTTTATACAATTGCCCAGAAATGATTTGCCAATTATGCTCCCGTTGTCCACTTTGATGGCTGGTGTAACAATAAATTATCTTTTATTTTTTTTAAAGATTTTATTTATTTATTTGAGACAGAATGAGAGATAGAGCGCACGAGAGGGAAGAGGGTCAGAGGGAGAAGCAGACTCCCTGCTGAGCAGGGAGCTCAAGTGGGACTCGATCCCGGGACTCCAGGATCATGACCTGAGCCGAAGGCAGTTGCTTAACCAACTGAGCCACCCAGGCGCCCAATAAATTATCTTTTAACTACCTCTTGCTCCCTATATCATTTTTTGTTTCTCTCCTGGTCCTCCCTACACTTCCAAAGAAACTGCTAGTAGTTTCTTTGCTTGAAGATCCCTTGTTTTCAGGGCCTACTCTGGGGCCATTTCGGCTAAAACTGAAATGTAAGCAGAATGTCAGCAGATCTATATAGCCATCTTGGGCCATGAGAGGGAGGGCCCCACCTATGTAAATGAAGAGCTGAGGAGTGGAAGGAACATGGAGCCCTGAGGACCGTGGAACCTCCATACTGGGCCTTGACTTCCCACCTCCAGCACCATTCTACATGAAAGAGAACTACATTTCTATCTTGGCAAATATGATATGTAATAAGAAGTGCCTTAAGTATACCTGCTTCTCTTTAATATTTATTTATTTTGTTCTCCAAACGAATCCAAATTTATATATGATATGTATATGTGTGTGTGTGTGTGTGTGTGTGTGTGTACACATATATACACACATGGGGGGGAACTTCCTTCTTTGAAATGTAATTGGGGGTCATTTATGAGTTTGGAAATAATAGCTAGAGTGTGAAACCATGATTCATCCAGGGTCAGAACTCACCTGGCTGTGATCATTTAGATGCAGGCCTTAAGAACTCTAAAAATCTCAGGACGCCTGGGTGTCTCAGTTAAGTGGCTGACTCTTGATCTGGACTCAGGTCATGATCTCAGGGTCTTGGGGTTGAGCCCCGAGTTGGGCTCCATGCTCAGATGGGAGTCTGCCGGAGGAGTCTCTCTCTCCCCGTGCCTCTGCCTCTCCCTCCGCTCATGCTCCAACCCCCCACCCGTGCCAAATAAATAAATAAATAAATAAACCTTAAAAAAATAAAAACAAAAAGAACTCTAAAAATCTCGAAGGATTTCCACCTCTGGGACAGATCTCAGTCCTACCCAGGTCACCTGGATTCCAACCCTTCCAAGGCCAGTTGCATCTGCTGCTCTTCTAGGTACAGGGAAAGGTCTAGGCCCTGCCTCCCTAGTGGATTCCCTTATTCTGGCCCATCCTTAACTAACCTGTCTAATCTCTACTCATGCTTTAGTTTGAAAATTAGGTAGTATTAGAAAAAAAAAATGCCACAAACCATCCTTTTTCTCCGTGTATTTTCAGTATGTGCCTATTTCTACACTGTTAGCTTGTTAGGATCAGCCCCTTGGGATGGAGTTTGTGTTTTGCATTTGTACTAAAAGCCAGTTGTAGGGGAGTAACTAATGAGAACAATGCTCTGCTGGGGCCTGCGTTGTCTAGAGGGTGTAGAAGGAGAATCAGAACATTCATGGGCACATCTCCTGTGTGGGGGGGGGGGGGGACTGCTGTTCCTCATATGTCACCTTTTCTCAAAGCATAAGGCTTATGCAGCTCCAAAGGACCTTGATCCATGGAAAGTCTGTGAGTCACTGCCCCCTCGGACCAAAGACTCACCAGATTATTTAGTCTGTCTCTTCATCTCAGAGTCCTGGACACAGAAGTAGAACACAGACCTTCACAGAACACGATGGGGGGAAAAGGGAGTCATCTCTGCTCCAGCCCCACCAGGGCCACTGGCCAGATGCTGTGGTTCTTTTTGACATCACAGTTTGCTGGTTCTAGACACAGGGGGACCTCTAATTCCTGAAGAGCACAGTCATTGCCTCCAAGTCAGAAAACACTTGACTTTCTGACCCATTGTGGTTCTGGCACTTTCTGATCCATATCCTCCAAAGAATTCAAACTTACTTTTGAGAACACTCAGTCTATTTACAAAGGAATGGGGGAAGTAGATGGGGAAACAAGTACTTGCCATGCACTTTACATGTGCCAAGTAGTAGCCTACTGACTTGATATAAATTACCTCATGTAATATGTTTAGCAACTCAGTAAAGAAACATGTATTGTTACCTTCACTTTACAGTGAGGATAGCCTATAGCTGTCAAGTGTGAAGGCTGGGATTTAAACCAAGATCTGAATGATCCAATATACACCCACCAGTATCTAGGCTTTGCGCTTGCCAGTATCTTGATCCCCGCATGAATCTGGGGTGCCTGATCTGAACTTGGAGGATGCTGGTGCTTCTGATGAGAAGATGTAGTGCCTCGTGTCTGATGCACAGATCTGCTGGATGACTTCCCAGTCTGTCCTGAGATTGGCAAATACAGAGAAAACTATCGACCAGTACAAGACTTTGATCCCAAGTTGCTGACCAGACAAAGCAGGGTGGGTTGGAGGGGCTAGGCCTGAGCAAAAAACCTTAGTTCTTGAGGAAAGTTCTGTCAACAGTCTCATTTAACTTTTAGGCTACAAGGCTGTGGGAACATCTGCTTCAGCCTTTGGCCCTGGTTCCTGATTCTACCAGCCAGCTGAGTCACCCAATGAGTAGCATAAGTTGTGGGAGATGCCTCTCCACTCCTGTCCTAAGCTGGCTTCAGGGAGACCTTGGTTTATTATGTGCCTGGTTTAGGTTTGCCTTTCCTCCTTAATTACCAGTGACGAATATGACCAGAAGACCATTAAAATGTCTGATTCTGGGCCCGTTATTCTGACAGGCTGATATGTAGTATGCAAACTTGGCCCATGGCAATGTGAGGATTTTAAGGTCAAGTAACTATACTTATGTTATGGAGGAAAAACATTGGACTTAGGGTCAGAGAATAAGGAAATAACTCCTCATTCCACTACTTGGTAGTTCTGTGATCTTTGGCAAGTCACATATGCTTTAGAACACTTATTTCTTGGTAGAAATAAAAAATGATAAGAATATGCCAAATACAGTGTGTATCTGTGGATGACCTTTATAAACTACAGAGAATGATAAAACTCTACAATAATATTTGCAGGACCACTAGGTGTGGGTAACCCAGTTGGTGGCAATCCCAAGAGCCTGGGGTTAGAACGTCTTCTTCACTAATCTAGTGTGGTGAGCCAGGGTTCTGGGACTATAAAAGAGTATGCCAAAGAGGAAGTCGGAAGAGCACATATAAAATAGAGTCATGCCTTGGGAGTGTGAGCTGCCCCTTATTCCATGTGTGCATCCAAGTCTGGGAAACCCAAGGCAGTTGAAAACTAGGGACAAGAAATTGCCACGTGAGTATAGACAGAAACCTGGATAACCCAGAGAAGCAATTGGGGTTTTGTGGTTTTGGTAGAGTACCACATGTATATGCCTGACTCATCTGAAGGGCAAGAGTTGAAACCCATGTGTGGATTATTGATCTTTTATAATGAAAAACTAAACTCTAATCAATATGAAGCCAGAAGGTATAGGTTAATATCCAAGGTTACATGAAGGACAGGGAAAAGATGATCAGTTCGTGGCAAGTTTAAGTATCAGACACAGTCCTGGATGCCATATAGATACAAAAGAGTGTGACAAAAACCTGTTGTTTCAGGAAAGTTAAAATATATTAGGGATATATGACAAGTATACAAATCGTTACCCTGTGAAATGGAGAACAAATGTCAGAGAAAAGATACAAAACATTACAAGGAATAAGTTAAGAAAGTCACTTTGCTGGGTTGGAGACTGATCAAGAAAATGTCCCTAAAGGAAATGGTATCTGAAACAGGCTGGACTTGGCCAGATGGAGCTGAGAATAGAATTCTTGACTCTGAAGCATTGAAAGATAGTTGGAGAACAGGAGACCAACCTTAGAGGGAACTTACACACGCCTTTGATTTTACCTGGTTTCATTTTGTTATGTTAAAGGGACACAAGTTTCTGAAGAATGGAACTCTAGAGGAATATTTCATAAGTGGCCAAAATAGCTTTTGGCATGCAGTGGTGCTGGGTGAGTTTTTCAGGATTTCAGCATAAAAGTCAATGGCTCATACCAGCGTGCCCAGGTGACTCCACCTGACCCAGAGGCTGCACTGGAGTTTATACAGCCACACAAAGATGCTCTTTGTGGATTTCCTTCCCCATCTTTAACTGTTATGCTCCCTTAAGTACCAAAAAGGGCAGGGATGGGGGTAGTTCTAAGCCATTTATTCCAGAGAAAGGAAGCTCTGCCTATGTGCCGAACATTTGACATTGGTATACAAAGGGTTTTGTGGAGCGTGTTGTGGTGGTAAATAACCACAGGGCTCGTTTGTATCCATTACAGCTTTAACCTGATGGGGAGCCCGAGGTGACCTCCCTTTTTGCGTCTCTCTTGCTGCTGAGTGAACAATGTAGACCAGGGAGAAAGGCCCCGATATCTCAGCACCAAGCTCAGCTCTGCAGTACGCTAATTACCATCCCAGAGCCAGTTAAGAAAAACACATATTGTCAAGCTGGGGTTTTGAAAGAGAAAACAATGAATATTTCTTTGCCTCTCTCCTCTTTTTGCCTCAACTAATTGGTCCATTTCTCTGCTACAATCACTGGGAAGATGGGTTTCCCCCCCACTCCCGCCAGTATTTAAAATAAGCTAAAATCTATTTTTTGTGTGTGTCCATTAGAGCCAGCTCCTTGCTAATTGTGCCTATAAATGAGGAGAGAGTTAAAACATCACATTGGGAAAGTTTTCTTGAGTGTTTTTTGTTTCATTTTCCTGACATTTTGTGGGAAACTTTTTTTTTCCCTCCCTGTT